TTCACATGAGTGAATGTTGCACATGTGCAGACGCCCTCTTCCAGTGCTTGGCTGTTCTATAAATTTGATTCCCCTTTCTTAGAAACAATACAGTGTAACACCTCTTCCTTAACAGCTAAAACTGCTGCAGATACCAATGGTTAAGAAACTAATGTCATCAGGGATTCCCTTGTTTTAGTGTCAAAGCAGAGGAAAGAAGGAAGAAATGTAGACCAGCAGGCAGTATCAGACAAGGGGAACTCCAGCTAACTTGTTCTACAAATCAGGTCAGAACTTCCGTAGACTCATCCCTTCCTGGCCTAGAGGTGGGTGTGCACCTGATGCTGCCGGCTTCCGCCTTATTCTGGAAGCAATCAGTAGTGGTTCTGAGGCAGCTGCAGGGAGAGCCTGTGTTCTCAGAGGATGCTCAGTGCTGTGCTCTTCTGTGCTGATCCCCCTACCTTCTGTACAGTGTTTGTGTTCAGGTTCACCTGTAAAAGCCTTCTTTCGAGCTGGATGGTGCTGGTGCACGCCCGTCATCCCAGCGCTCAGTGGGCAGAGGCAGGAGGATCTCTGTGAGTTTGGGGTCAGCCTACAGAGTGTATCCAGGACAGCCAGGGCTACACAGAGAAACCCTGTCTTAACAAAATAAAAAGCCACCTTGCTGAATGCTGTGTTTAGCATTTAGTCCTAGTTTTCCATTAGCTTTACACTGGTTGAATATGGCAGAACTGGGGTGTCTTGGTTCACTTCATGTTTGTCCTTAACAAGAGGATTATCCCAAACTACCACTTCTTAGACCTGGAATTGCTCATTGGGGGGTATGAATTGTCTGTTATTTATCCTTACCTTCTACATGTATTTACGCCAACACCTGATGGTGCTTAGAGGGCTTGAGCCCAGCCCAATTCGTGTGTGTGATACACTTTTTCTACTTTCTTTATTCACCTCTCTGCCCTCCACCTACCCATCCATCCTTCCAATATGTATGCTGTTGATCATATATATTGTACCAAGCATAGATAAAACATGCTCGATCCCTGAAATCCACATGTAGGAGTAAAGGGACTTCAGCAAGCTAGCAAATAAGTACATACAAATTATGAAAAATGTAATGGAAAGGCCTGACTAGCACTGAGCCCCAGGAACTGGAAGAAGGGTTATCAGAGTTCCCATACGATCACACAGCCACCAGCGAGGTGACTGTGTGATGGAAAGCTGTGTGCTGAATGCTTCTTCCATTCTAGCCAGTTCTCAAAAGAAGTTTGACTTCTTTTCTGAATGTATGTATTTTCACTCTGAACTTGTATGTTGGTGCTTTAATAGGATATATGCTAAGATATGGTTATATGTCATTTGTATTCAGATGAAAATAAGTTATTTGTGAACCAAGAAAATAAATGAGTCATCATAAAGTAATAAAAGCCCCCTGCTAGACCATTTTAACTGATTCTGCTAAAATTGCCTGTCCTCGAGGCAGTGTAGATTTAACTGTCACTGACGTATTTGTTTCCTGGTTCTGTACCAGTGTTTAGTATTGTCAGACTTCATAGCTTTCGCAAGCCTGGTTGTTGACTTGGTGTTCAGGCTTGCATACTGTCACATTACCTTAGCCGTTTGCATTTCTCTTTGCTATTCATGTCCTTTGTAGTTTTTTTCCTATCGAGTCTCTTGTCTTCCTGAATTGTAGGAACAGCTTGTAAACTGTAGATAGCAGTCCTCTATTGTATAGATTGCATGGATTGTGTCCCGACCTCTTCTCTCTTTCCCGTTGTCCTGGCTTGCCTTTTATACCCAGCAGTAACGAATAGCAAGCCTTCCATTCCAGTATAGTCAATACTTGTGGTGATGGTATATTTTGTGTGCAGGCAAGGCATCTTTCTGAAATATGTAGGACTCTGGTGTCACCTGTCAGCACACCAGGAAAATGGTCATCAGCATCCATTGTCCCGTGGACCCTGTGTGCTTTTTCTGATTTTTATTTATTTTATACATTACTTAAAAGAATAAGAATAGGAGGGTAATGAAAGATTCATTTGAAGATATAATACAGGGAGGCTGGAGAGATGACTCATTAGAGTAATTGCTGCTCTTACGGAGGACCTGGGCTCAATTCTTGTACCAGCACCATGGCTCACAGCTCTCTCTAACTCTAGTTTCAATGCCTTGTCTGGGCACATGTGGGCGCCAGGCATGCACATGATACATACATGTAGGCAAACAATGTACACAGAAGAAGAAATCTTTAAAAAAGAAAATATATGACTATATGAAAAGACACGAAACAACTCTCTCCATATTTTTCTGCTTGTGGATAAGCACACGCTCTGGGTGTTGATTTTTTTTTTAAATTTCTTGAGACAAGGAATAACCATAGAAGTCTGGCCTGCAACTGGCTTGACCTCAGAGGGTTCCTTCTGCCTCTCCTCCCAAGTGCTGGGATTAAAAATGTGTGCCACCATGCCTGGCTCTATGTTCTGAACTTTTATTCTGTGTTGTCCTCGTTGGGAACACACACATGCACGTGCATTACTCCGGAAATGGATGTCCCTGATTACAGCCACCTGCTAATTGGCTGTTGTGCATGAACCTGATACATCCATCTTGAAAGATTGTGGGTTTCAGACCTATCACTAATAAAATCCAGCTTCTCATTCTTGCATCATCAAAAAGAGCACTTGAATATTTATTTATTTATTTATTTATTTATTTATTTATTTATTTATTTATGTGAAAACTTTGGTGATTCACATAATCTTCTTTGTTTCCTAATTCAAACTTTTTATTGTTTTTTTGAGACAGGGTTTCTCTGTGTAGCCTTGGCTGTCCTGGACTTGCTTTGTAGACCAGCTTGGCCTCAAACTCAGAGAGATCCGCCTGACTCTGCCTGTGCTGGGATTACAGGTGTGTGCCAGCATGCCTGACTAACATTTTTGTATCTAGAGTTTAAAAGTCAATTAGACTTGTCAATGATTTTTAAAATTTCTTTGTCATCTCTGTTCCTTCTGTCACTATTGTATACCTTCAGCTTGTCCACTTGTGAACTGTATCAAATAAACTCTTAAACATTTTGGAAAATGAAAGGATAGGGCATGTCTTTTTATTATAATAGGAATCAACTGGGGTCTCATTGCAAATACTGCAAGGTGACATCCTTCTGGGTGAAGGCAGAGAGTATGCCTTTTCATGCCAGGAGCATACTGTTTAGTGATCAATTCTTTATTTTTAAAATCATATTTACTATGTATTTTGTGTGTTAATTTGGGGAGGGGAAGGAACGCACATAGGGAAGTAAGAAGAAAACTTGTGCGGTCAGAAGATAACTTTGAGGAGTCTTTTCCCTTCTTCCACTCTGTGGGTCCTGGGGATCAATCTTGGGTCGCCAGGCTTGGCAGCAGGTGCTGGCCCAACTCATCAGTACTTGAATGTGAGAAATTCATCTATTCTTACAGCCGCCTGAAGACTCTTGGCCATCTGTTGTCTGCTTCTCATTTGTGTGTATATCTGATTTGTCTGAGAATTGTGTCATCTTCCTGTGCCCATCTTCTTACGACATTGGAGATGGGAAATGTTTTAATAAGGATTCTGATTGTGTTCAGTGGAGGATGTCGGTGTCTCCAGTGGTTCATCCTGCACTGGAAAGCTACAGAGCCGATTCTGCAGACCCTGATTTTAACCAAGGGCCAGTCCTCTGCAGCATAGTCGACTGTTAATGGATGAGAGTCGTTTCTGCAATGGCCACTGACCTGAAGGAACTGGTGCTGTCTCTTAGACTTTCTGTTCAGAACATCACCTTATCTGTGTGCAGAGAACAAAAAGAGGAACATAACTTTTGTCTGAGGCAGGTGCATCTTCTTGGTTACTCTGCTCCCAAGAGCCCTGCTTCATCTGCAGAGTCTCCTAAGCCTCTTTCTCTACCCAAACCCTGGAGCTATTGAACTGAAGTGCCTCTCTCTCTGCTGCTCACAGGGCACTGCCAGCACCTCAGCTGGGAAGTGTCTCCAAGAGCTGTGTTTGCCAAGTGCGATGTCATTGTGTGCAGGCACCGCAGGAGTCTGCCAAGCCCAGAGGTAGGCTGCCAGTGCAAATGCCACGTTGACATGGCATTTACAAGTTTAGGATCTGGAAAGGGACTGGCCATGGACACCCTTCAGCTCTCTCGTTTCCTGTTATCAGCAAGTGGGCCAGCTTGGATTTTCAGACTGAAAAATTCAGTCAGGAAGTTATACTTGATGCATTTGAAGTTATCATTACATCCTCTTCCAGGAAAGCATAAATCTGTAGGCTACAGGATAAGCCATCACTGTTAAGCTTACAGACTCGGAATCAAAACTGGATGAACCTCTAATTCGGCTCTTATCAGTCACAGCATGAACTTGAACAAGCTGCTTAATGTGCGTGACCCAAGCAGGCCTTTGCCTTCTGGCTGTGAAACAGGGTGTTAGTGTCACCCTCCTCAGAGGTTTATCAGATGGAGTAAAACCAAATCCCTTACCAGCTCTCACACGCCAGTCATGAGTAGAGTTTTTGAGAACATACTGTGCTAGTGTGAGCTTGTGTGTAGATAGGCTGTTTGATTCAGGCACAGCTGGAACATGGCACAGGTACCGAGCACACGGTTTTTCTTGTCTCTCTCTAGGAGAAATTAGAGTTTGGGCCAGGATTGGTTGAGCATTCAGCATTTCTATAATTGTTTAGATGCAGAAATTATTTGGGTGTTACAAGTGGGTTTCAGTCATCACAGCCTTTGTATGCCCTGGACCTTTTCTGTGTTGCATTTGAATGCAAAATGCAGACCTATATAGCCCTTGCTAAGCTGTTTAGACTTATTAGGCAGATAGACATTTGTTTGGCATGAATAACAAGATCTGTGGTCTGATATGATCTAGTACCTAAATAGTAGACTTTTCTGTATTTATGTAAAATATATCCTTGATGTAGCACTTGGTTTCTTTGAATTATTTGTAGAGCCATCAGTAAAATGATGAAATTCCTCCCCCGCTCTTTGTCTTCTTTTTCAGGTCTTCCAAGTTGCTCCGGGCATTCTATGTCCCCTTCCTGTCGGATCAGTACACAGTGTATGTGAACTACACCATCCTCAAGCCTCGGAAAGCAAAGCAAAGCAGGAAGAAGACTGGAGCTTAGGAACGCCCCTGTGGCTCCAAGGGACAGCCATCATGTTAACTCACAGCTCCACTGAGCTGACTTCCTCCAAGTCATATAACACTTGTAATAAAGGTCGGCTGACAAGATGCCAGATTCCGGGTGCTCTGAGCTCGTCAGTATGTCAAAGTCTAATCAGAGTCACACACATCCTGCCCCTGTCTGGTCTGCATGTGAGCTTTCTGCAGATGGGCAGAGTCCCTAAAGCCTGGAGAGGTACATTGCTCCGCTTCTCATTGTTCTCCCTGTTGAGTTATTTATTAGTGCGGAGAAAAGCTGAGCGCCCTGACTGGGTGTGTGCTGGTGTTCTCCACTCTCTGGCCTGGCATCTGAGAACTAGCAAGCCTTCCTTAGGCCACATGGTTTCTCCACTAAAGTTGTTTGGCAGCTCCTAGCAGACCTTGTTCAAATCCTAGTGCTTAGAAGAAGCACAGCCTAGTGCCAACTGACGTGTTCTTTCACCGGCAGCAGGCTTCAGCTTCTGAGAGCATTCCCAGGACTGACACCATGTCCCGAAGCTCAGGAAAAAGGCGACCATGGAAGAACTGTGACCTAATATTATCTATGATGCCTCTAATTTTCTTTAAAACCGGTCTTAATTATTTGGCTATTTGGGAAGTGTTTTAAGATTTTTAATGTTTCAGCATGCTGTATCTTGAATTCTAGACTCTGTACAAAGATAAACTATATAGGGTCTCTGGAGAAAAGTTTATCACTAGGTTTGGGCAACATCATATTTTAAAGTGCTCTGAGGCCATCTGGGGGAAATCAAGAACTCCTTTTTGTGAAACAACAGCCCTAATGAAATGGAAGTGACAACAGTGTATACGTAGCACCCATACTTCAGTTCTGCATGGCCCCCTGCAGTGGGCACCTCTAGTTGCATAGGCATTGGTAGAACTCAGCCAACAGGTAAGCCTGCCTGTGACTTCACCTTCCCTTACAATACGGCACATCCTTGAAGCCATTTCTCAGTGTCTCATTTGATCCTATAAACACTGTGAGAGGACCCACTTTCCAGAAGAGGAGACAGATGAAGGCGGAGGCAGGAAAGTGGCTTATGCAGTGTCACAGGTGTGGACAGTAGTGGACCTTGGAGTAGACCTAGGCTGTCTGACTTCTCATACGTGCATGATTGTCCATGCTTCTGGACTCATCTACGAAAACACTACTTGGAAGGAGGAGGAGGTAGACCAGAGACCCAGGTTTGTCCACTTCTGTTTTAGGGAAGATTTTCATACTAGTTCTTCTGAGTTCTTCATAGCCTATGGGTTAGCCCTTCTTCGCAGTGCTGTGATAGTGCTGGGGCTGAGGTAGAAACGTCCTTGCTTTGGAAGTCACAGGCTCTACTGTACTGCATTCTTGTCCCTGTGAGCCGTGTTATAGGTGCCTTATTTGCTTAAGGGTGGCAGGTTCTAGTTGTGCAGAGAGGGTAGATCAGATTTTCACAGTTTCCATTTTCCTGTTTTTCTTTTTAAAGAAAATAACTTTCTAATGTAAAGGAGGAAAGCAGACAGACAAATGAGTAGTTGAATGGGTCCTCTTGGGGATTCCCCTCTAAAGGAACATCTGATTGGAGATGAATGAAACAGAGGTGAGGTAGCAGGTATGTAGAGAATGACAGCTGGTAAGAAAGGTAGATTACAGCCCTCCTGTCTCTGAAATTTATTTCTTAGTGTTTGATCACCATTTTCCAAGGCAAATACTGGGAATGTAAAGAACTGAGAACATGTTTGAGAAGCCAAGGCGTGGTAGGATGACTAGAAGAGTTGGTAATGGAGCTCGCTGTAGAGTGGTTCTTCTCTTTCTAGAGCATGGCGGAGTGGTAAAGCAGATGTTTACTGCATGTAAGGCTCTGGGTCCAGTTCCCCACACATGCAAACACACACACCTAAAAGTGTACGAAGATGAGCTATTTGATCATCCTATTTGCCTGAGGGATGTAAGGATCCCTCTAAAGGTGCCTGGCGTAGACCTAGGCCTCCACATGCAAACACAGGTCCTCTGAGTAAGAACTCGTAATGTAATGCAGAAAGGCAAGATGGATGCAGAGATGTCTTCAGAGTATCAGTTCCTAACCCTTTGGAAGCCTCACTCTGGTTTTCTCCACTCTGTTTTCTGGTGAGAGCACAGTACACTTGCACACTATGCCAATTACCTCTTGGCAGCATAGGGGGTTAGCTTCACACGGGAAAAAGGCATCTGGTCCGAGTCTCGCATCTTCTCCAAAGACTGTTGCGCAGATACCTCGGCTCTGCTCGCTCGACTAAGGTACTTGCTTGTGGATTGTTACTGTTGAAGAATGGGATTACATGGCTCGGAAATGCCTTTGATGGTTGACAGAACAACCATCTGGGTTGTTCTGGGTATACTGCGTATATATGGCAAGTTCAGACTTCTCTGGTCTCTGGCCCTAAACCCGCCTTATTTGAACCTAAATCCTGTGACACTGAGTACCATTATTCACCTAGTCTAGTGATAGGAATATATTTTCAAGATCTGACTCTTATTATTTGATTTTAAAAAAGGTTATTTTAACCTCAGGATAATCACAGAAAATCACAGCGTGTGCTCATTATTACTGAATTCAGGCTTAGCAGTAGACATGATTGTAGATAAAGGTGGCCATTGATCCCAGTCTTGTCTTTCGGTCATTTTTTCCTAGTCTGGTGTTCTGGGAAAGACCTTTGAAGTCCTTGTGTAAGATAGCAGCTAGCCACTTGACCAGTGGGAGCCTTATGTGCTGTGCCTCCTAGGGTTGTGTGACTGAGACACTGAGACAGACTGTAACAATCTGGCTGATACCAGACATCTTGGCGTTTAGTTGAGTTGGTCTTATTTTCTTTAAGGAGGAAAAGAGGCAATGGAATTTCTGCCTGCACAGATTCGGTAAAGCTTGCATGTGATTCTTTCAGGCTCCCGCATTGAATTCCTCAGGTAAACGGATGAAGTGGGCATGTCAGCTTTAATGTATTTGTATCAGGAACATCCATGCTTCTACAAGGTGTTCACTGGGTTTTGGGGCTCTCTGGCATATTCATACATCTGGGTGTTTCTTTAGTTGTCCCAGTCTCTGTAACCGTGGAATTTTTTAAAAAGCAAGTTTGTTCATTTGTTCATTTTACATCTCGATCGTAGCCTCCTCCCTCCTCTCCTCCTGGTCTCACCCTCCTTCCGTTTTCTCCCTTCTCCCCTCTTCTCCTCAGAAAAAGTGACAGCCCCCCTTACAAACCCATCGTGGCCCCTGAGTTTCATCAAGACTTAGTACATCCTCTTCTCCGAGGCCAGATGAGGCAGCTTAGCTAGGGAAGAGTGATCCAGAAGCAGGCTACTAAGTCCGTATCATATACAATCCAGGCTCCCCTTGCTGCTAGGGGACCACATGAAGCCAAGCTGCCCATCAGTCACTTCTGTGTCATGGGCCTAGGGCCAGTCCATGCATGCTCTTTGGCTCGTTCCTCAGTCTCTGTGAGCACCTGTGGGCCCAGGCTGGTTGACATTGTTGGTCTTCTTTAGTCATTCTTGTCTCCTCCAGGACCTTCTGTCCTTCCTCACTCTCCACAAGACTCCCCTAGCCCCACCCAATGTCTGGCTGTGGGTCTCAGTATCAGTTTAGCTCCACTGCCAGATGGAGCCTCTCTGAGGACAGTCATGCTAACCGCCTGTCTGCAAGCATAGCTGTATTGTTCATAGTGTCAGGGGTTGGCTTTCTCTTATGGGGTGGGTCTCAGATTGGGCACTCATTGGTTACTTTGCCTCATCTTCATCCCCGCACATCCTATAGGCAGGATAAATTTTGGCTTGAAGGTTTTGTGGGTGGATTGGTGTCCCTCCCTCCACTGGAAGTTCCCCCTGCCTAGGAGATGCAGATGAAATCAGGACACAGCATAGTGCTGATACCAGTGTCATCCAGCTCTCTGTCTTCCTTATTCATGTTCTTTATTTCATGTGTCAGTGTTTACATTACATACTGTATTTCTGTGACAGAAAAAGTTAATAATTTTTGACAGTTTGATTTTTTTTTTTTTTTCTTTTGAGATAGGCTTTCTCTGTGTAGTCCTGGCTGTTCTGGAACACACACTCTGTAGACCAGGCTGACCTCAAACTCAGATCTACCTGCCTCTGCCTCCCAAGTGCTGGGATCAAAGGTGTGCACCACTCTGCCTGGCTTGATTTTCCTTCTCAAGGTGACTCTTTTCTTTTGCATTCAGCTTCTAATCTTCACAGGGAATTGGAAACAGTGCAACTCCTGTGTTCCCCAGCTCCCTGCCTCAGTTCATAACTATGACTAAGGTCAAAGAGCTCAGAATGTTTACCCTGAACCTTTGGGGAAGAAGCCATCTGGTGTCACCATGGAAGTCCTTTCAGGCTAAACAGAGCACGTGGGAATTCATTTTCGAGCATCGTGGGGCTTGAGAGGGTGCATCCTGTACCCAGCTCATCTCACAGTCTGGGTGTCAAGTCTCTGGAGTACGAGAGGTGAGTTTCCATAGGCATCCCAAACCAGGCCTTTTGGATACTTTCCCACTTTGGGGAGGTGGTAGATTTCTTTTTATTTTTTTATTGGCAAGTTAGTTTTTTTTTAAACATCATTTTCTTGTCTTCGTATTCAATCTTGTCACCTGGTTTTTCATTATTACTTTTAATTTTTCTTCCCACATGATGCCAGGTGTCCCTGAGACTTGTTTGATTCATTTCAACCATGCTATTTTAGGTGTTCTTATTAATTTAGTTCAAGTGGGAACAGGCCACTGCAGTCATTGGTCTGTGCGGTGTGGGACCACCTTTTCCCCCTATCCATCTGCTTCTTTATCTTTAGAACTATGTCTAAGCACCCTCTCTAGACTTCAGACCTCTGGACAATTTCCTTTTTCTCCCTTTATTAGGAACACCCTTAAGCAGAAACCTTGAAAACCCATGTCTCAATGTTAATTGTCATGATGGGGGCAAAGTCTGCCGTGTTCCAGAGCTCAACAGACCCTAGTGTTTTTATCCCATGCATTTTACTGACAACTAAGAAAAAGAGACACTTATTTTTTTTTAAACTAACTAACATGCAGCTCTTGCTTTCAATTTGGCACAGATTTTTAATTTTAGTTTTTTGAGACAAGGTTTCATTCTGTAGCCTAGATTGGCCTGGAACTCCGTATGTAGCCCAAACTGGCCCAGGATTCACAGCAGTCCCCCTGCCTCAACCTCCCAGTGTTGTGATTATGGGCATGGATCACCATGCCCAGCATCTTGGTTTGAATTCTTAGAGACAGAAAATACAGCAAGTCATGAGTCTTGAGAACTCAAAGGGCAGCTTTTAAATAAGCCTGTGTGTGTGTGTGTGTGTGTGTGTGTGTGTGTGTGTGTGTGTGTGTAGCTTAGCAGTTCTGATCTCCAGACTTTGGCACAAGAGCACATTCCCTAGGGTTGCTTCTAAAAAGAGCTGCAAGGCTCTTTATGAAATATTTATATTATATGATTTTAGAGGGCCAGACTTAGCCCAGATGTCCTTCTGAATGTGTCTGGCTTAGAAAACCTTGTAGGTGTAAGAGGGCTTTAAGCCCTTCCTGTTCCCTGTTCTTCACAGAAGATGCCCAATTGCAATCTGGGTTTGTATGCACACATTCAGATTGAATATTAAGTATCAGGTTTGGAGAGCTGACTCAGAGGTTAAGAGCACTGGTCCTGAGTTCAATTCCCAGCAACAACATGGTGGCTCATAACCATCTATAGTGAGATCTGGTGCTCTCTTCTGGCCTGCTAGCTTACATATAGGCAGAATACTATATAAATACTGAAAGCTGAAAGCTGCCCTGGATATCCCAGTTGTGGA